GGTTACAACATTTTGCGAATTTTGCGAAGGTGAACCACCACTATGCCTTGAATGTTTTAAAGAAACCCACAAGAACGTGTAGCGTCCGCAAACAAACTCAGGGTAGGGTGTCGATCGGTCCGTGTCAGCCGAAAAGATTGCAATAACGGCATCCCGTTATGCAAAATTTTGCGGTACATTTCCTTTTTTTGCAAGAGTAGCGGCTAGCCGCTATATAGCAACATAAAGAAGAGGAAAAAAAAAAGGAAAAGAGAAAAATCATTGGTTGTGATCGCATAATGTAAATCCGCGGAGAAGTTTTATTCAATTTTTATAGACATTTCTCTAAGGAAGAATAATTTAATAATGTGATTAAGTTGAGTGGAGTTTTCATGATATTTCTCTAAAGAAGAATAATGTAATAATATGACTAAGTGGATTGGAGTTTTCATGGGAGATAATCAGATCAAAATATGTCCAAACGAGGCAGAAATAAAAGAGAAAAAAAAAAAGGAAAAATGGGATAGAAATGAAACCAGTGCGATCGTGAAAAAAAATGTTCAATTAATCAAATATACTCAAGTTTTATAAGTACGTTACATAAATACACTTATATATATATATACCCCCAACAATTGCATTAACTCTAAAAGAGACTGGAGTGTTGGGTGGCAAGTAAGCTGAAACTATTATAATGTTGAACCTGAGATTGATTCTTTTTATAACAACAATTTGAACGGAATTTGAACGAAATTAATGCCTTTTTTAATGCAAATGGCAACACCCTTGTAACCATCAGGATGACATTTGACAACCAGCAAGTTGGCAATTTTCAATTCTGATATTTTTTCATCCAACAGAAAAATTCCACTGAGAATGCAGACGTCATCACTTTTAGAATTTAAAAAAAAACCCAAGTCTCGACATTTTTAGTCATTTGAAAGATGAATCGTCGACGAAGATCCGGACTGAAAGGACAAATCGAAGGAAGATTTGAACTTCGACAATTTTTCAACCAAGTTTGTACATGTAACCTGTCAATAATGGCAAGACTTTTGAACGATTTTTCATATGCTGAAGTCTTGTGCTTGCTAAAATAGTTCTTTGTTTCTTTAGGATACTGTACATTGTATTAACCATTGAGAATAATTGATTTAGGAATGTGCAATTTTTGTCTCATAACTTGACCGTAACTTTCTCTTTTACAAACTTGGTTAACATCAACCTACTGGTTTTTTAAATTTTGCAAAGAGGAAGAGTTATTCGTGGAAAGAGAATTGTCCTCATATTCTTAATTACTAAGCCAATCAAAAGGATTTTCATAATTATCCTTCTATCCCTTGTAGGATAAATTTTCGATAGTTTTAAACCTATTGATTTACTTCCCATGCTTACGTCTATGACAATTTTTACAACGACTGTTACGTTCAGATGAGCCACAGACAATGCTTTTCATACGCAAAAAGGCATTGGACGAACAGGCAGAAGACTCCCCGCAGTTTAGGCACCTAGCCTCTTTAGAACTTGACAACGTGGGCAAATCTTCCGAATTTACGACATTCTTTAAGGGTAGACATGAAATAATCCACGTAAAGAATGAAATAGTTGAATATTTTTATCATTGGGATTATGACGATTAAGCCTCGTTCCAGATCTAAATGGAACGTCAGAATCGGGATTATTTTTCAAGTCATTAACAATAATTCTGCGGGGTGTGGAACAGGAGTTTTGTCTTACCATTAGCTATGGTTTTGAGCTATTTTAAACCTATTAGCTTGAGATTCTTAATATATTAAAAGAAAATCTGACGTCAGACAAAGCTTTTGTTTGTCATCATTAATAGTTCATGGCTAGCACAAGTTTCCTCAATGACTTCAAGGTTATTGCAAAAAATCAAACAATTGATTAAACAAAAATTATGCTTAATTGTTTTTCGATTATTTACTTAATTACGAATTCGTCTTTTACTGATTTTTGATTGCCTATTAAACTTGCATTAGCTTTTAAACTTTCATCACTTACTTGCTAAAGTCTCCATCCAAATATTAAGATTTGAAAAACAAATAATCGAGCTCAAGAAACACATAGACACAAGGGGAGTCTTCATTATAACAGTTGATTTGAAATCATTGAATGTAATCATTGAATTGAGGCTGTATTTTCAGAACTGATGTAAGTTTGAACTGATGTAAGTTTGAGAATTATTATTTACATTGTTTGCATTTTGGGCTACCATACCGGAACTGTTGTCTTCTATCATCGTTTTCTCACCGGAGGAAGATATAGAATTATTTGCCACTGCCAAACTATTACCACATAGTTTCTTGTATGGAATATGTATTCATAGAAGCATTACAATCATATACTTCCGTATTATATACGTATTGTACAACTCCTTACGGTACGGGCAATTTTTAAAACCCCTGATCAACCCCTTGTTTTTCTGAGACTCACTGTCTCACATTAACAAATTATCTTAGCTGAAAAATTTTCTCAATTATCATCTAAAAGTGCAAAAAAGTCGTAATACTGCCTGCGGGCTGACATTGATTGAATTACGCGTTTGTTGAAATGTTTATTTTCTTGTCGGTCTTAGCTAGTCAACCTAATTACTGTCTGTGCTGCCTTAGGAAATTTCAAGTTAATCTCTAACTAGTTCTTGGTAAGTTAGCTTTTCTTGCAACTGTGGATTTCAATAACAACTCGCCAAGCATTCTTTGAAAATTGTTGAATGAAAGGCGGTCTTACATATTGGCAATGTCGACTGGGGGTTGAAAGGTGTTGATTTTTTGTCGAGTTCTATCTGGCGAAATAAGTTTATCATATCTAGGGCCGAGAAATATTTGGTCGCCCTAGCCTCTACAAGATATCTTCTAATCTCGTAAGGGATGATTTGTCGTTTACTATTTATATCCTACACCACTTATGGTAGAGGATATATTAAGTTAGTGAGGACAAATGTAACACGCAGAAGAACTTAAAATAGAACCAGCTTTTGCATTATCGATCGATTCAGAATCGTAATCTGAATTGATCTAAGCCGTCTGATATCTGTCCACATATATTTTTGTTGAAGCTACAGGTCGCAATTTTTGAGAAATATTGACGAAATTTGGTACACTGACGTGTTTTGACTCAACGAAGACCACTATTGAGAATGGTTCGAACCCCCCCCTAAAACTAAAGTTCATACGACGAAAAGGTATAATTTTTAATGCTTCACGGCATCAAACACAGCATCCGCAATCTTCCCCGTCAAACCCGCACGCGTCGGGTGCCCAAACCGCTCACTTAGCAAACACATTATAAAGAGGATGGAGCCGGGTTCCGATTCAGACACGGCACACAGTCCAACATTATCAAAAGTTCCATCATTTCCTCATTATTTGTTTAACGGTTGTGGTTGTGGCGGTTATGGATGTTTTATTGATCATGTAATTGCTGCTGTCCTTATAATCGTTCATCGATTATACTTTCGTACCACCAAGCTTGCGCTTGTATCTTGGGACCAACGAAATTGTGCCGCTGTTTTGTCGTGCCGTATGTATACGATTGAAATAAGTGGAAATGAATGTCTTGTCATAACGACTTTTGAAGCTAAACCAAGCGGATACTGTCTCAGGCATCCCAGAAAGAGCTGATCCGGATGGGCTGGATAACAGAATCTTAATAAGGATTAGCTTCTTCAACTGAGTATTTCCCTAGGGATCAAATGATTACTCCCATCTTTTTACCAATACACATCAATGCTCGCGTGCGATTACTTTTTTTTTAGAAAATTTTCAAATGGATGTTTATTTGCAATTCATTCGTTAAGTTTTAGCTATATTTTTGTTATTAACTTATCTTATTTACGTAATTTTATAGAATTTTAAAGACTTTTTTGTTGCACGCGATAAAACGCGTTTATACTCGTGTTGCCAGACCATTGACTTTCTCAATTTTTTAACAGGAGGCTCTTTCGCAATTTATAATTTCAAGTACTAGACTTCAACCGTACAAAATTTTAGTTTTTGCCGTGACTTTATAGCAATATATAATTTTTACTTTTTGTCGTGAATTTCACAAAATGGTTAGTAGGTAATGGTATACGTTTTCAATAATTATTTTCTTGATGTTTTTTTGAAATAAACAAAAGTTGACTTAACTGTTAAAAGCAAAAATTTCACGCGAAGCAAAAATTGCAGACGGCCAAAAGAATTCTCCCAACAATCATCAAAAACAATCAAACAACATTTTCGTTTTTCTTTTCAAAAAATTATTTTGAAATTTTTTTTCTTTTTGTTAGTGCTCAATGTCTTTTTTTTAGTCTAAGAATTCAATTCATTAGTCTAAAATTAAAATAATAATAGTAATAATAATAATAATAAACATTGTTAAACATGTCAAAATAAAGCAGAGCTAAACATCAAAACATTATTAAACATTGTTAAACATGTCAAAATTAAGTAGACTTAGACATCAAAACATTATTAAACATTATTAAACATCATTAAACATTATTAAATATTGTTAAACATGTCAAAATTAAGCAGGGTTAAACATCAAATTATTGTCAAACGTTATTAAACATTGTTAAACATGTGCTAAGATTTCAGGTGGTATAGGTATTTTGATTACAGTCGCTTATCAAAGGTTGGCAAAACTGAAGTGTCATCCCGAAAATAGGAATAAAGCGTCATTGTGTTTTAAACGCTAAGTTTGCACACAATGAAGCCTAGCTTATAATCTTGCGCATGTGAAAGACACTTATTTATAAATATTATAAATTATAAGTTATGTATATACAATATAATATAAAATAAATAAAATAATTTAAAATATTACCAATTTTAATAAAAAATGTATAAATTAATGTTTTCCCCAGGCATGGGGGGGCATTTTTTTTGCGTGGTGGCGTCTCTATTAATATCTTTCTTGTTCTACTTACAATGAAAATTTTAACCTAAGTGGAAATTTCATAAATTTAGTAGAGCAATAAAAAGTTTTTGAAAGTTAAACGAAACTAATTGGTGGAAATCATTAAGAAAAATATTAATATAGACAAATAAACTTCACAAAAGTGCAGAATTATAAACGAAGCAAAAGAAATTGCAATTTGCAAACGCAAATGAAACGTGACTTTCGTTTTACGGGACATCTGTTTAAGACTTCGAGTGGCTGAAAGGAAACTATTTTCTTTTTATAGGAATAATATTATTTTTAGGATTTTAACATACACCATCTTCACTTGGGCGTTAGGTTTTATTTTCATTTAGGTTTTAGGAATATCGATATCATTTTTGAAATATATTTTTCCATTTTTCTTAAATCTTGTGTAAATTTTCTTTTATATGTACTAATAACCCCACCCTGGGCGGATTTTATGAAACTTAACAATTAAAACGATATATTTATATATATATGCAACAATAATAACATAAATGTTCATGTAACTTATATATAAAAATATATGTAAAAAATGATAAATATTCAGACCATACAATATGTGGCAGACTGCATACCTTTGTATCTGCCGCACAGCCTTTATCTCAAGCCGGTGGCCAAGATTAACATCTCAGTGGCTTTACCCTCGAATAAAACCGGCAAATCAATCTCTAATTTGGATATTATGGAAAAGTTGAGCTTCGCTCTTAAGCCAGATAAGTTTTTAGTGCTAAAGGTTGGTTTTCTTTGTCAGTTGTTGTTTTAAGCGCAAAGAAATTTATGGTTTCCTATTTAATAATTAGGTTTCCAAAAGCACTGTAGATTTTATCAGATTTGAAGCTGAATTAGATGAACGTTCACGTTTACGTTCAGCTATTAATCGTTTGGATGGCATTTCTTTAAAACTACCTGGTTTTAATGAATCATTTCGTGTAAGAGCCTCTGAATCTAAGGATGATTTTCCCACACGTCACGATTGGGATTCTTTCTTTCGGGATGCCAGTAACATGGATGAAATGAAAGCAGGCGAACGTCCTGATACCATACACATATCTCATTTGCCTATTAAATGGTTCTGCCCTCGTCATCTCGAACATGAGGATAATGCTAAACCAAGTGAAAGCATTTTTAAACGTATATTCGAAAAATTCGGGAGTGTACGCTGTGTCGACATACCTATTTGTGACCCATATCGTAATAAAATGAATGCAGACATTAACGGCATGAAAACGTTTAGTTTCGAGCAGGATGTGTTATTTGAAGCGTAAGTTTGTTGTTTCCATTAAATGCATTTTGCGAATAACTTTTGTGTTTCTAGATACGTTCAGTTCGATGAATATGTGGGGTTTGTGCGTGCAATGGATGAATTTCGAGGTATGAAATTGGTACGAAAGTTTGTCGACAAAACTCAAGCCGTTAATATTAGTGCGAACTTCGATACCACCAAACATTTGAGTGACGGTCAAAACCAACGACGTGAACGCGTACGAAAGCGTTTAATAGCTAAAGTAAAGGCTGACGAAGAAGAAAAAGAGCGTAAGAAAAAGTTGGAAAAAGAACGTTTGGAACGCGAAAGGTTTGCCTCTATTAAACTATTAATATGCCATTATTCCCCACTTCTATACCCACTGTTAGCGTAAGGTTTCAAATTTTCATTATTTCTTCCTGTAAGCTTTACAAATATGTATGGCGCAAATCCGCTACTCCATGGGACTTCTTGAAAATGGCCAAAGACTGCGTAGAAAAATTCGCATAAGAAAAATCTTTTCACAGCGCCTTGTTCACATGAACGCAATGCGCGGCATATTCAATTGCTACGTATAATTAAAAATTGTGTCTCAACAGTTCATTGTTCAGCTGATTTATTTTGGTTTGAAGTGACTGATGATTGAATTCTTGAAATAATTGACTTTCATACAAATTAAAATTTCGCAATTTCAAGTAATCGTATGACTTCGTATTGGTACCTAGCAAATACATTATTAGTTCTGAATATGAAAATGGACATTGTCCGAAATTTTCGCTACGGATTGTGCGAATATAATACACATCCATGCCCTTTTGCTTAAGTTCTGCGTTGAGTTTTGCAAATAATAAAAAAAAAAAGGAAAAAAGAACAAAGATAGAAATATGCCCGCTACATTAGCTCCAAATGTTAACTCGCTCTTTGGCCTTTTTTCGTTATGTCAATAAGGTTTACGCAAAAAAAATTCTATAAAATTTCGTAGTTTTCTTTCCTCTATTTTTTTAAGAAAATGTTTCCTCACGCATATGAAATAAACAAAGAATTCTTAAGAATATGTTCTCAAAGAAACATGCTTAAAAAAAGAAAAATTATAAAAATGAATGAAAAAATCTTCAAAAAAGAAACAACCAAACGAAAAAAAAAATTACAGGCAACGGCAAGAGGAAGAGAAATTGGCCGAACTAGAGAGACAGCGGGAACGTGAAGAGCGACGAAAAGAGAAACATTTGAAAAGGATACAAGAAAAGAGTCAAATAGAAATCTCGCAAAAAATACGAGTCGAGGAACGTAAACTAATGATAGCTCAAAGAAAGTTGGAAAGTATACGCATTTTGGAGCAACTGTTTGACCGAATGAAGGTTGGTTTGGAGGAATAAAATGCAAAAATAATTTTATATTATTTTTCTTATATATAAAGTTAAAACATCTCGCGAAGTATGGTACGAGCACTTCCAGAAAATATCAATTAGAGCAGCAAAAAGATACAATGCGTGAACGATTAGTGGAAAAATACAAAACAGCTACTGAAAAATTGCTCATGGAACAAAAACGCAAAGTTGAAGACATTAGGAATAAAACTCCTCTTATGGGATTGTTGAAAAGTAAAAAGACGAAGGGTTCATCTGAGGAGTCGGCTGATGAAAGTGATGGCAAACGTAAAGTGAACTCTACAAATGATGCAGGAGCAAATACTTCAACAAATGCTGCTGCCAGTACGGAGAGTCAACCTATGAATCCTTTTAAAGCTGTAGCAGCCTTAGCCACGGGAGCGACGGCGAATCCATACAATACAGAAGCGGCTAGCGAGTGGATGAAATCATTAATGTTCCCCTACGTACCGCCTATGTTTCCAGGAATGTCTCATCTATATCGACCACCCGCATATCCAGTTTCAGGCAGCTATCGCAGCTTTGCTCCAAGAATGCGAATGCGCATTAGGGGCAGAGGTCGCGGTCGCGGTATGGGGTATGATAATCATTACCCTTCAAACCACTACTACAACAAACATTACAATCATGGCGATAATGAACGTTACAATGACGATGAAGATGGGGGAGGCGGTGGTAGTAGTTACTATCACTACAAATCTTATGCGAGAGGAAGGCAAGGCATTAAATTAATCTCTCTTAACTAATATATTGTATTTACGATGTAATATTTTTATAGGAATCGTTTGCGTTCTCGTACACGCTCCAGAGACCGTCGGTCACGGTCGCGGTCGCGTACACGCACACGGTCGCGTTCCCATAGTCGCAGCCGTTCACGTGATAGACGTAGTCGCACGCGCTCACGTCATCGGCATTACTCTAAGCGCACCAGATCGCATACGCGCTCTCGATCAAGATCGTACAGCCGCTCACGTTCGCGTACACATTCAAAGTCGCGCTTGAAATCTCGCGAAGATAAACGTAGCAAAAGCCCCAATCAACAAATGATATCGAATAAACCCCCTGAAAAGATCAACAAGAAACTAGCTTCCACCCGTCGTTCACGTTCATATTCTTCGTCCTCCCATTCAAGGTCGCGTTCACGCACTCGTAATCGTTCGCGTTCTAGGACGAGAACGCGTTCGCGATCACATTCACGTTCGGCACGTTCGAGGCGTTCTTGGTCTCGGCGAAGCAGTAGTCACCGTTCCCCTTCTAAACGTAAGGTAATTATAGACTCTGATAAGCTAGTGCGTTCTGCAGAAGAAATTAAGCGTACCATTGAAAAGGATATGAAAGAACGTATGCGTGAGGAAGAACGCGAAATTAAAGAGACTTTTAATAAACGGCACAAGCAAGTTTTGGTGCACAATGCCGCTATTACGGCCGTTATGTTACGGGCATCAGCTAGTGAAAGTGGTATTGGCACAGCAGAGCATTCGGCAAATGAATCTTCCGTGACTAACTCAGCGCAAGACAAAGAGGACTCTTCAAAGGAAGGAGGATGCGACGATGAAGAAGATGAAGGGCATTTACGTAAACATTTTAGCCGTCCCTCTTCTCGACGTCACTCTTTTGAAGCAGAGGTTGAAAACTCTAATTAAGTTTCCAGATTTCTTTAATAGAATGTTTTGACATCTAGATAATATAAAAGAAAAGCAAATAAACATTTATATTGTAAGGGTGAGAAGCGAGATTGAGGTTTGCAATTGTGAAAAATCGATTTTTTTCTGAAAAAGGAAAGTAGCCTCTACTAGATTCATTCAGAAGATTGCTAAAGACAGAAGGTAACATTTAACAATATTGCATTCATCACACCACAAAAATTTTAGTAAGTTAACCCGTTCTATATGGACGATGGAGCTCTTTAAGGAGGAAGAAAATCTTTAGCAGACTGTGAACTGAAGCTCACACACATACCTAGGCAAGGAAAGTTATAATCGCACCTTCGAGTTTTTTTAATCTTGGACGCCCGTAGTAGAGAATAAACTGCAAAATTACCTTTCGAAATTTATATAGTAGCTCTACACTTATGAATTAGTGATTGTCCTCGATTGTACGGTTGTTGGGTCCCCAAGTGCAAAGTGTCACTATAACTGATATTCACTAATTTTCTGTTTAGTTTTATTAGGCCCAAGATTATTAGAACTTCGAAACAAGTAAAAACTGTTACTTATTCTTATAATGAGATTCCAATTCAATAATGATCATCGGTACATATCTACGCTCATATCACTTCGAAATATTCCATCATTTTCTCCTCAAATTTTGTTATTTATTTTCAGAAACTAGTGATTTTTAGAATCCTTAAAGATAGTTAAAATAAAATATACTTAAAACATGAACCAAAATTTTTCGTTATATGTCATTTGAAATACAACGTGGAGACTAATTCGCAGGTTTTGTTTTACAATTAGTGGGAGCAAAGACTGTGGACAGATGAATATAAATGAAGCAAAACAAACTAACCGTGAAAAATAATGATTGTGTATGTTTGAAGGATGAAATATAAATTCATGATTTTTTACACATTAAATACAAAGTTTTAAACTTCTCAGTTTAACCGTAAAAAGAAACAAACGAGGCAAAAAATCTTAAGCTAAAGCAACAAAATTTTCTAAAAACGTCGATTGTTACGGCCGCGATTACGGTCGTTGCGTGGCCCGCTACGACGATTGCGTCGATTGTTGTGATTATTGTTATGATTACGTTCATTTGAGGAATAACTGGAATTATTGTTGTTATTGTTACTATTACAGTTGTCATTATTGAAATCTGACCCTTCTAAATTGTTAAAACCTCCGTTGTTGTTGGAATTGTCATTAAAACCATTTTGATTCACTAAGCCGTTCTGGTTGATTGCCTGGTTTGTACCATTATTAGGTCCATTCCATGGCCCTCCCCCATTTCCGATGCTCACATTATTGGCATTATTCACCCAAGGATTCTGAAAACCCGGCATTGCCACTTGATTTTGAAAAATCATTTGAGTTGGATTTTTCATTTCTTCTGTGCTTTGAAGTGATTGCTGCTGCTGTTGGTTTAATTGTGTTTTCAAATTGAGCAAAGCCGGCAAAAATGGTTTTTTCAAACTCAACAATTCCTTAACAAACACCGCTTGCGGATTGTGTTGGCGTGGCTCAAATCGTGACTTTTTCGAAGGCGGTGAGCTTTCGCGTATCTCTAGGGTTGGTGAGATGGAACGCGACCTTTCTGGCGCTGGTACTACATCTCTCAGTTCTTCTAACTTGCCTGCATCGATATACTTATTAAGATAATCTCGCCCCTGACGGACGGCCAACATCAATCGCGAATCTGGGTGGACACGTATGAAACGACCATAAACCAAAATGCCTACTATAGCTTGAGGGTCCATCGTAGTTAAAACACCACTAGCCAACATTCCTTCTATTGTGTTTTCACTAATTTGCTGAGGATTCAAACCGCTGCTATCATGACGTACTTCACCACGCGGTGCATACATTACATCTTCGTAATTATCATCAGGCCGTCTGCTGCCTGCCCACTGTGCCTGAAAATTACGCGGTATGGGCTTACTATACGGTACTTTCTTCTCGCTTTCCTTAGAAGACATCTTAGAAGGATCCAAATCCAGCCCGGGTATAAAGCCTTTGTCTGCCGTTAAGCTTTCAGTAAATTCCACTTTATCTTCGGGTCCCATACCGGGTATGATAGCATCATCTATAAGATAAATTTCTTTGCAATTAAATTTCTCAGCAGACAAAATATTTACTCCTTATACTTACCATATTCACAATCATCTAAGGCGGCCAAACTGGCTGGCAAGGTATTCAAATTGTATTTATCTCTCATCATATCACCAGGACGGTTACGGGTCCAAAATTTAATAGTATGATCATTGCTGCCTGAACATAATATATGACCCAAAGGATGCCAAGCCAAAGTCCACACGATACTATCATGAGCAGTCTCAACGCCGCCAATTTCTTTGTCCGTTCTAGGATCGTAAGATCTTATACAAATCCTTCTTTTATTACAAAAACCTACCCCACATTCCAAAAGAGTATGGCACCATCTGAACCACCCGAACAGAACAGACCTTCATGTATTGGATGCCAAGATACTGAGCTAGCTTCTTTCTTATGCCCGCGAAACACCTGAGTCTCTTCTTTCAAATTACGCAAATCGAAAAGCTTGAGTAAATGGTCGCGGGAAGCCGTGACCAGCCAGTTACCGTTATCATTCCATTTTAAGTCCATTACCGTCGATTTGTGAGCGTGTCTTGTAAGAGGAGAATGCTTTGTTAAAAAGCCCTAGCGTGTTTTTTTATTCAAAAGTTTTACTTACAAAGTCGCCAAGGCTCCTCCACTTTTTGGATCCCACAGTTTAATGGGCTGTTGATTATCTTTGCTGCCGGATACGATTAAACCTTTTTGTGGGTGCCAGTGAACACATTTAACATCCGCCCCATGGCCTAGTTGAAAATGAAAGTTTGTCAATGAAAGTTATAAGTTTTCCTAATATAGAAAATGAAAATTTAATTTGATCTAACTTATTAAGAGTGCGGAATATAAAAATCTAATTATGGCCAATCTTTGTCTTCTTCAAACATTTTGTTCAGTGACATTTAACAAGTTCCTAGAAAAATGTGACAAGAAAATCAAGAAAATACATATCTCCACTTTTTTTGACGGTCGCTAGGGTTTTTAAACTATGTAGAAGAATATTTAACTGTGTCGAGTTCTCCGAAACGATATCGGGAAAACGTTTTTAAGAAACATTTTCTCTAACTTCCTGCAGTGCGCCACGCAGTTGTTGCATAAATGTTTAAGAAACATAAAAGTTTTAAGATTTGATTTAAACGGTGTTTTTTGATTGGTAGTTTGACGTTATTAAATCTGTTGTGAGCGGCGAATATTTTGTAAAATTTTTCCTTTAAAGATATTCTTCTGACTGTAGAAAATTTTGTACCCTGCACTACTTGTGGTACAAGGTTCGTTAAGGTCAAGCGAACGTTTGCAAGGAAAAGAAAACCGTACCATAGATCCAACTCTTATTACGCGAACTGATTCAAAACCCTTCTTTATATCGTTTTGAGCTTGTTTATCTGTCTGTCCATGTATTTTGTGCAAACCTGCAATTTCCTATACGTTTTCGTGAAATATGTTGCTGTGACGTGTTTTACCCCAAGGACGAATAGTTCAGAAAATTATTTTGCCGTTTTGCTACACAGCCATGCCCAGCTATATTTTTACTTATTAAAAAATATGTTTAGCAAAAATATTTTTTTGACTTCAAACAATTGTGTATGGTAGGAACGTTTTTTAAGGCGTGATCAACTTTTCGAGCATTATATCGGAAGCCTTAATTAAATAGCTGACAAGAATGCCGACTATTGAGTCGTTCATAAATCAAAACTGGAGTTTTTTGAGAAGTATACGCAGTGCTCTTAAGTTCCTACGCTTTTTCTAGATGCGTAGATGTTGATTGTTGTAATAGGATTTACATGGAATTAAAAATTCCATAACTCAAGAAAAGACCAATTGCAAATTTTCTTAACATCTTTCTGCAATTATCCGAAGCCATTATTTTTCTGTTTGTTCGCGCTCCGATTCTAATAGAAGTGTCTATGTTTAAGTTTTGATATGGATTCATTGTAACGGAAACTTTTAATTTTAGTCATCGCTGTTTTTCTTTTAGTTTTTCTAAGTTTCGTCTTCGATATCAATGAGTTCTATTAGTATTGATTGATATTAAACGGTTTGTTTGCAAAAGGACTCTATTTGACTTAAAACAGAAACGGTGTCATGTGAAATATTTAAAGTTGCTTTGGTCATCCACAAAAGAAAATTTTACATATGCAAGCTATTAATATTCCTAACATAAATTAAGTATGGGTATTAATAGTGTTAACTCCTCCCAAACATGGTTATTTTTAAAAGCATCGCGAAAGGCTCTTAAAGTAGTCTCGGTACAAAGAGTCTTAAAATCTGAACGGTTACTAACATATACCTGTTTGCGTCCAAATCGTTTTTTCAAGACACCTTATATACGCAATAAGGTATATTTTTCTCGTTCCTAATGTTTTTAGAAAACAATTGTGGGAATTTGATTAGGCGATCGACTTGGTACAGACAAATTTTATAATCTAGTTTTGATTATGAACCGTCCTAATATTTCTACAATTTTTGCACTTGCATCCTACTTGACAATTTTAAAGATTGCTAAAGAAAGGAAAATTAAACCGATACTTACCCCTCAGAATTTTCTCCTCTTGACAACGAAGAAAATCGAATATGCGCAAGGTGCCATCATCGCTGCAGCTAACAAATTTATTATCCGTTGGACTAAAACTATTGTTGAGTAACGTTGAGTGGCGTCGGCAAATAGGAGCGGCCGGTGATCAGTGTGTTATTTTTCGTTTATTTTTGTTCAAGCAATCATATGAATTTAATTTATTTTTTTGTTTTATTTTGCAGAACACAACAACAACATGAAAATTTCCAAAAATAGAGAATTGTGATGAAGATTAGAAAGAAGTCAAGAATTAATATAAAATAGTTTTGTAACATTATTTTTATTGTAACGGATGTAAAAATTAAATCCTAGGGTCATTTTATAATAAAAACGCCAAAGCCTCGTTTTTTTGGAAATAATTTTTATTATTAATTTAAAAACTAAAAGAAAAAGACGAGAAATACTTTTTGGTTATTTTATAGAAAAAAAATTTTTTTATTGTTTTTCTTTTTTTACAAAAAAAATTATTTCAAATAATATATTGAATCCCATCTCCAGACTGAAGAAGCTATCTTAATTGAAATTTTACTTAAATTTGAGCATATAGTTAGTGAAATAGTACAGACACTGGGAGAGAAGCCACATGATGACAAGGCTTTGAATAGTTTAGGGCCGCAGCAAATAATAACCCAGAAATCTCTTAAGTAGTTTTTAATATTTTATTTATGTTTGGTTTTGTTTTTCTTTCTTGTTTTCTTTAATAAATTAACAAAAGTCTTTGGCATTTTATTGCAGATAATTATTACGAACTTCTTAAGATTCACTGGTGGTAGGCTATTCAATATGGAATAACTTTATTATTAGAACAAACAGTCACTACACACCAGTTTCGATAAAGCTAAATCCCTATTAAGCTTTTAATTATCTACCAGAAGTCCTAACGAAAATCTTTATTTAAATTGTTTAATAGAATGCGAGCAAAGAATATTAATATACCGAAAAATATTTATATTAACAATCTATACCTTATTCCCCTAATCGCTTCCTTGTGGGCTTGAAACATTTTCACATTGTTCATATTCGATTGCCAATATTTAACGTAGCCACCGTGATCGCCTGTAACCATCCAGCTATCATTGTGCGACCATACCATGGTACGTACAGAGGTATCATGCGCCTAAATATTTAAGAAAGAGATTAAAAAAAGCAATATAAGTAACTGCAATTAAATAATTTTCAAAATTTCTACTCACTTGCAGTATGGTTTCAAAGTTAAATGTTAAACCATTCCATAAAGTAAACTCGCCTGAACTGGCACCCGTTACTAACCGCCTACCTTCAGGGGTCCAAGCTAACGTGAATATGGGGCAACGCATTTTGTTGGTGGCAGTTTTGACGAATCTAGTAGTTACCGCATTTGAAGGGTTGTCCAAATACGAAGACGGCGGCAATAATTCCGGTACATATATGCTCTCTGGTTGTAAAGCAAAACGATCTCTATGATCGCGTTGCCATAAACGAGCCTTAAGCGTTTACAAAAATTAAATGTTACTATATATAGCTTCGCAACATGTTATCAACTCACCTCTATTGCTTTAACAATTGAAGCATTATAGTCAACTGTTTTACGCATTACACTTTTACGTAAACGTTTGCCGTCGAAATCATCTTGGCTCATTTGATAGGGTCTTTGGAACCCTCCCGGATTGAAAGGTTTAAAATATGATTTATTTGAGCCATGATGACCGTGGTGGTAATGTGGTCTATAATAACTACCATGTGAACTACCCGACATTGGCGGTGGTATACTAACATTAGTCGCCAAGGCGGAGGGTGCAGACAATAGAGGCGGGGGCTGATCCAATTTTACCTATAACAAAACATTAAACTTCATAAGAAAACATTATGACAATAATTAGCTTTCCTACCTTTGTGTTATTTTCCATGTCCTTTTTTTCTTAAGTTTTTTGTATTTTTCTGTTTATTCTTTCCCTTAGCGTGACTCCTCTATATTGGCTTTATTTGCTTGCAGCTTTTCTCCTTTGTTTCGGTTTCATTTGAAATATTTGGTTTTGATGGTATATTTAAACATTTGTACTTGTTTAAACTTTTTACGAATTATTTAGTTGATCAATATTCTCTTATATTTACTTGAAGTTAATTTGTAAAAGTTTTCCTCTTAGGATTCTTTTGATAGAGGTGTTATGACTTGAAGTTGGATGCGTTTTAAAAATTTTGCTGTCATCTTGTACACTAAAGCGAATTGTCGTGCGCGATGTAAACAACAGTTTTTTATGAAAGGAACGAAATGCAAATGATTCTATTTTGAATATTTGGCACTAGGCGATATTTTTGCCTTGAAGAATTACAAAAATCCCATATAAATAAGCAAAAAATTGCATAAAAATTGTATGCAAACAGTTTCGTCTTCGTTTATACCTTGCCAATGATCTTACGTTCAAAATGTTAATGATTTCGAACAAGCGCTAATAATTAATCGGTACTTACGTATTAACGCCACCCCGGCAAAATATTATTAAAAAAACCAATAAAAAGCAACCTTTTAAACGTTTAAAAAATTTTTTTGGCTACCAAATATAATAATAATATAATAATAATAATATAATAAAATTATAATAATAATAATATTTTAATAATAATATTTTGCCGTGGGGATGTTAATAAGTAAGTACCATTTAATCAATTATCTTTGTTTTAATAATAATAACTCACAGGATATAAGGGATAGGGACAAATATAATTAAATATACTAAAAGGAAGGAAAAGGATGGATTTATTCATCTGAAAACAATGTTGTTTAAGAACAAATTAAAGGGTCTTACAAACTTTTATGTGTCAAGCATGTCAATGGGCTGTTTAAGTTCGTTTTACTCTGATTTTAGAAAGCACGCAAGCTTGATAGTAATTTTACACAAAATAAGGGCAATAATAAGAGAGCCACTTATGAATGCAAACATTTAAAAAAAGGATGTAATGAAAAATCCTGGAAAATGTAATAATAATATTGATTTATTACTGGAGACAGATTAAAAAATTAATAAAATTTTAAATAAATTCACGAGTATTGAAACAGAAGATAAACAAAAAAAAAAAGCAAAACCAAAACTGAACATAGATGTTTATGAAGCTTAATGGAACTTTTGCAAGGCAGAAAAAAATGTAATATAAGTGAGGGTCTGGATATATGTGGATATGATTGATATAGGATGAAGAAAAACCATATCTTAAACAAATTTGCATATAAAATAATCTTTAGCGCAAATCATTTTTCGACTTTATTTAAATGTAAATAAAAAACAAACAAAGAACCGCGCATTGGTAACGGAGAACTATGCATTGTTAACAGAGCACCATGCAAATCCATGCATTGCGACGGGAAATTCTAGACTTTTACCAGAAAGCTATGAATAGTTGAATAATTTTGTTCTTCTTCTTAACGATTGCAGGAAAAAAACTATAAAAATTGTTGGTTGATAAAAAATTGAACAAATTGAACGTGAGCAGATTTATATGTGTTTATTGTTTCAGGGAGAGGGAAAAATTAAGAGAGGTTTAATATAATTAGCTTATATTTAATTAACAATAGAAACACAAAGCCAAACAATAAAAAAAAAACCGCTGCAAAGATGAATGACAAAATCGAAACCAAATTTCTTGTCATAAACGCTTACGTTAGTAAAATAAGCAAATGTTTATGAGCGTTTAATAACTTATTTTTTGCAATAAGTGAGCAAACGTTAATGCATATGTATTGATGATGATGCGAATCAATCTTAAAATTTCCAATCTGATACTGATAAAGTAAACATTTGTTCGTTTGTCTGTTGAGCAGAGGTTTTGGGCCTTTTTTCTCAATCGTTTTATTTGACATTTTTTATTGTTGCTTCATAAGCGAAAGTGAGATTAAGTATGCGTTTACATGTGTTCAGCGCGAAACACAATGCTTGCATTATGCGTTTTGAGTGGTTTAAGAACTGCAAAAATAAAATTGATCGTGGTTACAAGTAGTTAAAAAGTGCTGTGTGTAGCTTGAGTTGCGGTAATCCGAAGTCTTAAAATTTATGCGTGCGTTGTTTTTGACAAACAAAAAACAGCACAGGGGTACACAATTATGTGTTTGTCAAGGCAACTAAAGTCATATGGCATTATAAGCTGCCATGCATTTTCGCAATATTAGGTAAGCCGAGGGTGGCCTATACCACTGCGTTAACTTCCTTTGGATTCGAGTGGGTGGGGCTTAACGGCACCCTCCAACGAGGCGTCAGTTTTCGATTACATTTCTTCTTTTATTAATCTTTTATTGAAAGTTTACTTGTCTTATGATAATAGAATCCGGAGAAAAGAGAGAGGAAATGCTGCGTCGTTTACGAAATAATACGAAAATTCGATCTTTTTCATTTTATCAGTGCGTGTGATGAATTTAGTTCCAGTCAGGCGATTTTGTGGAATGAAGGTCGCTTTTGTTGGACTGCGTTGCATACAAATGCGCTTCAGCAACGCATGCAAGCTGCATGTGTGCGTTGCTGAGGCAAGCATTGTGTTCGTGCTTTTGGTTGGCAAATCTCATATAAAACCAATGCTTTGATTTTGATAAAACAGTTGATCGTAGTAAGTTTTAGCGTATGGTCGGAATTAACGGAATTAATTAATAGTCCGTTGAAAACGCAACCATTATAACGTGCTTGTGCTAAAATATTTTAACGGTTTTCGGTGTTTGATTGTCTATGCATGCTGTTATATGTGTATGTGCATAGTATTTTATTTTTTGCTTGTGTATTTTTTGGATGTTTCTTTATTTTTTTTTAAAAGTTGTTGTGTGTAATGTTTTCATTTCGCTATCCAAGGAGTACATTAAATTAATTTTCAATTTTAACAACCAGAAATTTAATTTATATGTTGTATATGTTTAATGATTTGGGATTAAATTGGACACGTCCACCTGTCCGTCTATCCGTCTTTTTTTCTTTTGATTGAAATTTTCGCGGTAACGTTCGCTCAGATATATTCTGGATTGACATGTAAACGACAAGTTTAAGTTAAAGTTTTAAGTATCATCGCAACTCGTGCATAATTAAAAAAAGGAAATAATCTGAAAATGGAAATATGGAAATTTTCACTCGGCGAGAGTAGTTTAGAAACAGGGATCGAATATTTTGCAAAACAACTCAGAACTTGCCTGGAAAATTGTTCTCCTTTTTGATACGTTTACTTAGTTTTCTTTAATTTAATGAGCAATCAAGACTCGTCTTGAACTCCGTGCAATGTGATTTTATTCAATTGGTCTCAATTTGAAAATGAACGAAATAATTTCAACAAATGTTTTGTACTTCTTCTTTTTTGCTGGTATTTTGCGTTTCCTCTCTGTCTATTTTAATGAAAGAATAGACAGTTTTCTGTTTGCTTTTAAAACATTTTGTTTAATTGTTTCTAAAAATTTAATAAAAAAAACATATTTTTTTAGAATCTGAAGATCGTGGAACAGTTAAGAACAAAGGAGGGAAAATGCAAACAGTTATCAAGTAAGTTGTCTATTTATCTATTTGTTTCTTCTAGTATTAGTTCTGTGAATATTTTACATTTGAAAATTGAAAGAGTATAAACCTGTTCTTGCTAGCCTCATTAGCTCATTAAATAATCTTTATATGGCTTAGAGCGTTTGTTTGTACAGACTTTTGTGTGAATAGATGTTAAGGGCGTTTATAATTCAAAACAATGTTGGAGGATTCGGATAAACAAACTTACTTGTATTATTTGTTACTAAGCGTATAGCCTTCGGTAGTTAGTTGTTTTCACTAAGTCTTGGGATCACATTGCCTTGTTTAACACTTGCTTTAACTAAAGGGTATTTTTTTAAGTGAGTACGAAGCAATTCATTGAAATGGCAGAGAAGCACAAAAATGTACCTGGTGTAACAATAGCTATGTCATGGTTACGCCATTACAAATACTAACGGTAATTTGCGGCGGTTAAAATAACTTGGACAAGTGAACAATCAAATCCTCTGAAACAAATAAGGGATAACAATAAAGGATGAAAAAAATCAGCGATGATTTGATATTTTCGATCATTGACAATTATCAGAGTATAAAGGTTCGTGGGACTTGAATAACATTCATTCAACCAACTTTATCGAATGATAGGAGTGTGCTAGCTATGTCGTTTCATTTGGAATAACCGCCAACGGGCGTGTTCATAAATTATATATATTGTCAATCATTATCCTATGAAATATATTTATTTTATGTTCGTACATCGTTGTCTTTGCTCTTGTAAGCAAATGATCAAAAAACTCAAAAAAGAAAACTGCAGAGTTTAAATCCACACTCCTGGTTTCAAAGTACGCGCAATTTCACCCCAAATGTGACCAAAATTACAAACGAAACAAAGTTTTTGAAAAACTCACCACGGTAAGCATAAATTTGTTCATACAGAATACATCGTCATCAAATGTAACACACATACATAAAGGTCCTAAATTTTTACATGTAATATATAGAGGGGTTCCACATATGATATCATACGTTCTATTTGATCTCTGTTTGACTTCGGGCAACTTTTATTTGATTAATAGGTGCTTTCAGTTGGCTTAGGGGAACTTTTAATGGATTTAAAGGTACTTTTATTTGATTTAGGGAAGCTCTTATTGCACTTTGGGGTAATTTTAGCTGGTTTATGTGAACGTTTATTGAGGTTAAGGCTACCTTTAGTTCGCTTAGTGGTACTTTTATTAGACTTTGCGGTGCCTTCATTTGAATTATGGGACTTAGAGGAACTTTTATTCGACTTATGTTCTTGAAAGTTCTGGTGGAGTCACGTTCTCCGTCAACCGCTCAACAAAAGCCGCATGTTTAAGAAATTTTCTTCCGTTCTAAATGTAATATCTAAAATATGTATGTACAGCGTTATTACACTATCTATATTCATATATACCTTGGATTTGTGGATCGAATCTCCTTACCCGAGGACTCAAATATATGAAGTAAAAAGATCAAATTTGAAAAGGAGGAAACAAAGTGCTCAAACTTTTATGAATAGATAAGAAACCCCAACAAGTGCAGGTCTAAAATTTGGCTGCAGCGTTTACTAGAAGAATGAAAAAGTTTACAGGTTCTGAACTGAGAAAACTGACATCATACAGAACTGTCAAAGAAAAAAAGGAAAAGAAAAATATGAGCTTGCTCTTTTCTATTTTAACATTGTTATGTAACTCAGCAGTTATATTACTAGTAGAGAGGGTGTACTTTCTTTCGTATATTGTACATTCATTATTTCATTAAAGGATTGGTTAACGAAACCTTTCCAATTAATTTAGGTCACTTTTACCCATAAAAGAGAAGTTCAAAATTAATTCCCGACCAAAGGCAAAATACAAACGAAATTTTTCGATTTTCAAGCCAACACATAAATGAATTCAGTTAAATTAATAAGCTTTTAAGGGTGCTCTACGTTTATTTTCGAACAATTCTGTTGTAATCTGTTGAATGCGTACTATTATAATTTTGTATTTTATATTATTGTAATTTTTTCTTTTAATACAAATATTTATTTACTTGCGGTTTTAAGAAAATGAGAAAAAAGAAAAATAGATATTTATTGCAATTTTAAGTTTTGCAATTACATGATTGTTAAACTAAAAGACGAAGGATGCACTAGGTACACTAATTTCGTCATTCAATTTGTAATATGAAGAAAAGTTCACTTCAGGCGTTCTCACTTAACATCAGAGCTTGAGTTCATTCTACATTAGTCTGTTATTAAAGTCTTTAAAGTTGCAAATGAGAATGAAAAATGGGAACTTGGTACATATATTCTTGCTCGCATTCAACGTGTACACTTCGAAAAAGAGATGTCAGTGCTCCGGGCTAAAAATGCAGCTTACGATCTGCACAGCGACTTTTATCCCAATCATAATTAAAGAGAAATTTGTGGAACGGGAACTATTTATCAAAGTTGGTGGGTAAACACTGAAGTCCAGTATAACTTTTCTATTTGGTAACTTTGTTGTATTGTTTAGTCTGCTGTCCGTTGCTATTTTCGTGAAATAAGCAGCATATTTCTCTTTTTTTGTGATCGTTAAAGCAATTAATGCTTTATACAACGGTTTTACATTTTGTTGGAGCTATTTTTAGAAATAAAAAAATCTTGCTTTGGTGCAATTCATGCGCAATTATAGTTATAGTGAAGTTTCCATGTTATTTTTAGAAACTTTTAGCTTTTTAACTATTTCAAATGTAGTGAAACGAGTTACGAAAGGAATTGGTTGATAAAATTTTTAACACTTTTGCTTCATATTAAAACATTCCATACGCATTGGTGTGGAATAACGAAAAATCATAGCCCATTGTGTTCATTTCTAAAATAGAACGCGATTCGTCAATTCCGTCGGTTAAAATATTGAATAGGGCGATAGGACATTAAAAGTAACTCTATCTGATGTGAATGTAGGAGTTTTTAAATTTATCAGAGCAATTACGCTGCTAACAGAAACATCTTACAACAACGTTCATAATACTGACAACTGAGAGAAAAGAATGTCTTCAACATTTCGAAAAAATAAAAGAAATATTTTAATCACTTTATGCTTATAAAAATAATAACAGTAGCACATTGCTGTTTAGAATTTTTATACGATCTTCTCGCTATGGTTTTAGATCGCCCACCATAGTAGTTTTACGAAATTCTTATACCAAAACTTTCGCCGAGTTTCAAACTAATATTTTCTATAGACTGTAAGTTACATATAAGTTTTTTGCGCCTAGCGAGCTTTCGAAATCAATTTTAGCAAAGAGTATACATAGTTTCAACGTTAAATTTCAGTTTTTGCAATTGTCATTTCAGGGCTTCAAGGTTATTAGGCATGTTTGTATTATCATTTACGAGATTTCTGATCCATTTCTGCATGTAAAACGGAATGATACGCTTGGCATACCACTGTTGTTCCTTTCTAAGCACAATAACAAGAAATATAAGAAATTTAGTTAGTACTTTCCCTTCTGTTGGTTGCGTTTTTTCTCCCAAACTGGAGAATTTTGTTGGTTCCTTTGATCGTTCAGTTTAGTTGCCGTCGTATTAATTTTGTCGAAATAATTGCAAATCAAGGCTTTTACTTTCTTTTGTAAACAGGACGTGACTGTTTCCTAAATGTTCAGACACTAGTTGGAAGTGTTAAGATTGGAATGGACAACATTGTTTGTGGCTTAAGCCACCCTAAAGAGAGCGAATATACGACAAATCCAGGTTGTTATCAGTAACAATTTTTTATTTATGCATTACACTCTTATTGTTTTCTATTACGTATGATATTAATACATAAATGTGATATATAACGTATATGCAGACACATATATATACATATATACAAAAAAATTTTTTCATAAGGCGAGGACGATTTTCTATGAAAATTTGGACAATTTGCAGATGTCAAGCTGTAAACCTAGAAAAGAATTAAAGTGTGACATGACGATGACGAGGAAGTAGAAGCAGTTCGCTTTTGTTGAAAGAGCTGGCACCTATGCCGAGCTTTCTATCGGTGTGTTCATCTATGGCTGCTTTATATAGGGCTTTCGATTACAATTTTGTTTTAATAACCGTATGGTTTCCAGAAAAGAAGACCAACGGGCATGGAGGGACGGATGCACATAGTTAGGCCTATATAAAAACGTAAAATATACAATAGTGTCAGCCTTTTCCCTTATTGTTATTCCACGCTAATGGATATAATGTGTAAATTACAGTTCCGGTTATACTTGCAATTGCAGACACTAATAGAACAAGAAGGAAAAGATAGACGGGCGCAAACCTCATCAGTCTGGCTGACGAATTTGTATGGTTGATTGAGGATGTTTGACTAACCGCAAGAGCTAGTGCACTTTCGCTGGGTAATGTATAAACCTTTTAAACGATTTGAACACATGCTTCAACCATTTCATCCAATGCAGACGGAGTTTGCGATTTCAAATATTTCGCAGCAAAACTTGTTTTTCTTTCCTGTACTTTAAATGAACAAAAAAAAAAGAAGAAAAATCGCATTACAAAACAGACGAAATTCGCGACTTTCTCTATCAATATTTGGTGTAAAATTTACAAAATGTGTTTTCGTCTATTTGTAACACGTAATAATCGAAAAAAAAATTTTAAAAAAGAATAATTGCATTACAATATTGCTGTAATGCTTTTTTGCTGACTCAAAAAAAAAAAAAAAAACAATTTTTTACATTTTATTCCGGTTTTACTTTCTTTTCAAATCGTATACATTTCAATGTGCCGATTAGATTGTGATTTCTTGGATTTTTTTGACTTTATTATTTTTTTATGCATTTTCAAGTATGTTTATATGTATTTGATCTTTTTCATATGTCGAATGGAAAAAAATCGAGTTTAGGCTTTCTTATTGTTGTTGTTGATACTGTCACGTCGTCTACCTTTACTTTTCACTCGGAGTATATCATCATGCTTGCAACGACCAGACTGCTTGCATCTCTCTCCGCAAACCAATTCAAATAAAAGTGAAATTTGTTTTTTAAGCTTGTTTAACAAATAAAAACGTGTTTGTATTTATTTAAGAAGAACTTGCACTTATAATATATATATATATATATATATTATCTGTATGCCTCACTTTCTTTTAACAAATATATGCGTATAAAGTGCGGGAGTTATTTCATTTCTGTAGTAAGTAACGAACATTTGACAAATCAATTCAAATAAATACTTATTGACGAAAACGCTTTTCAAAATATTTTACTTAATGATTGCTTCTCGAGAAGCAATTTTTGTGGGACTGACACACTGTTATAGAAGAAGGAGAAGAGAAGTTATAGGTAAAAAAGAAACAATCACTTGCTAGCCAACGTCACGCGGTTGATGGTTTTCCAATTTGACGGTTTGAATGCCCAGAAAGTAAATTACTTGCACGTTTGTGAAGATTTCATTTTGTAGTTGTAAGCATCGTGTAAGCGGCGTGGCATCATATTCTTCGCTATTTCTCCGAAACTCCAAGCAAGCAAACTTTTTTATAAGAATCCCCATTGATTGCTCTTTCATCCTGTAAAGGCAATGCTACCTTAGGGTACTAAGGCCCCCTTCAATGAGGATTGTCTTACTCCCTGAGGGGTCTCTAATTGAATTATACTAATTGCCGATGGTTGTAGGCAACCCGTCCGATTAAGGCTTCGTGCCAGGTGCGCACGTTAAACCCTGATAAGACATCCGGATAGGCAACGGTGTATCGTGTGAAATTTTCCTGAAGAAAGGAGTGATCATATGCTTTGACGAAGTTTATGCGCGCAAGGTTTCTTGGCACGGGAATTTGTCTCAACCATCAACCTTGACAATAAACATCAAGCCGAGAAGTACAACATTTGCAGTGAAGAATATTAAAAGCTTCCTTTCAGCCAACCAAAATACATTCTCACTTTTAAGAATACATAGCGACTTTACCATATGATTTCATATACGGCAACGTTGTTTATTAGTATAACAAATCGATTGTGAACAACTTAGCTTAAATTACCCAGCAGTCACTCATTTATTGGCTTGGGTGCGTAATTGTTAAATACCAATAGTCACATTCGCATTGATTTTGAATTGTATATTATTACCTTTTTTTCGAAAAGAAATTGCCAGTTCATTGATACTAAAACAAACAACGTTCCGATTTCTTTCCATTCTGCACTTGAGGCAAAGTGCGTAACGAAATCGCACCTATATCATTTCGCAATAGATATTGTTGTATGATTGTATTTCGTTTCACATATTTGATGGAATGTGATGGGTTTTCTATTCAATCTTATCAATATACGTACGCCCAGTACCATTGAAAGCTTTAACGCCCTATGCTTGTATTTATGGTTATAAAAAAGTGAATGGGATAAAATTTTCTTTCTAAAAAATCTTTCACTGTTAACCAAAAATAATCCGGGCCGCGACGTTCACCTTAATTGATCTAGAATTGACACACTTAGCTTATCGTTCTGTAACGACAAGCAAATTCTCTTTTTCAAGTCCTTTTATCTGATACTTATATAGTATTACTAAGCAAAAATTAGTCGAACACGTCGTCGTGTCCATCATATTTTTGTTAAAAATAACGAAGTTTTTCCTTTGAAGAATGTACAAAATAATTTTAGGCCTCCTGTCTTGTTTTACATATGACTGATCACCGTAAAAGTGAAAAAAAGAAAAATGAATCAGTTATTGTGTGGGCATGGTCGATTTTGCACTTTTGACAATAAAGGTTAAGGCGAATGTGGAGAATATAAGCATTTTATTTTTCATAATTTGAGAAGTGTCAACAACACACCATACAGCGACCCAGGTGGACAGACATGGCTGAATCCATTCGGAATTTCACACTGATCGAGAATATATACACTTTATAGGGTGTCTGAAGCTTCCTTTTGGGCGCAAGCATTATAACAAAATGAGCATGCCCCATCATTTAGTGGTGAGTGTAAAAAATGCAAATCTAGTCAAAAAAATATCAGGCTAACTTAATAAAGCGTATGCCTCCCACACGAAAAATTTGAGTATTACGAAAATTTTTCTGAAGGCAGCAAGCTTAAGCATAAACAGTGTTGTAATTCGATAGCAAGATGGTTATCCTTAAAGAATTATAAGGTTTAGCCCTAAGAAGTTAGTAATTGATAGGAATATGTTGCCTTCAAACCAAAGTTCTTTCATGATGTTAATAATTTCGTTTTTAACGAATATCAATTTTTGGCTGAGCGAATTTCGTTAATTAAATTTTTTTTACATGTTTACTATTATCGTTTATGGTCGTAAACGGTGGGCGTCTCTTTCTATAGATAACTTTAGCAGAACGCAATTTTTAGCGTGCAATTTTTGTACTGTGGAAATTTCTTTCCCTGTATACTACACCTATAAAATTTATACAGTTTGTTCTCATGCATGAAAATGAAAAATAATTATTAAAGATTTTGAATAACATCAATGCTATTTAAAATGCGTTACAAACCAACAAACTTTACCATTGACAAAGGAGGAAAAAGTTCAATAGAAATGCCTCCATAAATATAAATGTGTTAATGATGTTCTCCTTATTGTTGCACTTACCTTCTCTACGTCTGGGCAAATTAACTTTCTTGAAACACCTTCGAAGGTAGCTTCATCAAATTTATCAAAACCTTTACAATATGCAAAGCTACGGATATACGGTAAAGCATACATAGGCATATGCAGTATCGATCTAAGCATCCCTCTCTTCGTCTATGCAATGTTCGGCGTAAGCATCCGTGTGGTCGCGAAAATTAAGTTATCAACTTCACATTTGACAAATGCGTTGGACATTCTTGCATGCGGTATAAGCTAAGGGACACCCATACAGTACAGCATAAATTGAGAACAACTGTGTTTTAAAACACAAAAAAAAAAAAATTCAACAAATACTACAATAAAAATTTTTTAATCCAATATTATAGAACATCGAAATTTCATTTTCTTGGGGTATTTTTTATAAAATCAAATTTAAGTAAAATAATTTTCTTATTGATTTTTATTTGATTTGTTTCTCTATTTTATTCCTCGCTCTTATAAGGAATTAAATAATAATTTTTATGAGATCGGAACGTTCTTACCGAAATTGTTTTATCTTGATTAATATATATTTAGTTTTAACTTATTTTATTAAGAGCATTGTTCGCTAAGATGGGATGATTGCGATTTCTTTTTACCGACGAACGCATAAAAACTGTTTAATTTTTATTTTTAAAAACGTAAGTTAAGTAGACAAACATGTATATACACGTATATACACGTATATACACGCATATTCGTTAGAAATCGGTTATTTAATTGCTCATTATTATGTTTTACCTTTGTATGCAATACAAAACTCATATAAATCTATATAATCCATACATAAATACTACTACATATGTTTTATTTGTATTTTTATCCAATTACGCACCATTGCAGATTAATCATCTTCACGAAACAATGTTCTTATTTTAGAGCGTATGTAAGCAAAATGTTCCTGTTTTAATAATCTTCAAACTGAATTTTATTAAGTAAAAATTTCGCACGAAACATAACGCTTTCATCTAAAGCCAAAATTATTAAGGTTAGATACTGAAATTTTTGATAATTGTAGGGAGAGCCTACGTAAGAAAGGGTTTTACTAATTTTGTGACACTAAACCTATAACAATGAAAAACCACTCGACTTTTGAGATCATCCTGGATAGTTCAACAGAGTGATCTTGGTGACCAAATTCATTCCTCCTATTTATATTTTAATCAAGAAAACGTTACGAAAAAAAAAAAATTAAACACCATTTGATGAGATTTTAGACATCCAAGCAGTACCGGGAAAATGTCAATCAAAACTGCTCCTAGTGGGTTAGTTCAGGTGAACTTAGTGAATGCAGGGACAGGTTGCTCTCGAACATTGAATTACTTCTTGTTATATAATCGCGTTTAGCATTCGCAGGCATGCTTCCTTGCGGGCCGTGCTTGTTCGTAACAAGATTTTTTAGCCAATCACTGAGTGATTAAATGTGTCCTTTAATGTCCGCAGCTTTAAAAAGTCAAACAAATGACGGACGAACGGGCCTATGGAGACGAAAGCGGATGAATGCCATCTAAGTGTACACAACAATATTACGATTGTTAGAAATGGATTCACTATATAAATCTTTCATGCAAGTAACGTTCAGGTTTATCGTTGCAATGTGTAAGATTTGCTATCGGCTAAATGCTGGCGAAACGTGCTGCTGAATAAAGACGAATTTTGCAAAAATGAAAGTGTCCTTTTCTTTCTTAGCCCTGAGAATTGATAATCGATGTTAGAATTAAACAATGAATTTTCATTTGGTTGCTAACATATCACCTAATAAGTTCGAAGAATGACTTAAAGATGT